CCCTATGGTGTGCTTATGTTGCATATCTAAGCTTGCCGGTCGCAGTTGGGGGGTAGGCTGCCTTGGGGGTCCTTGGAACCTCAAGGGCCGAACGGCAGGTCCGTTACAACATGCTTTAAAAAATTCAGCAAATTTTCATTCTATCGTCATTCTAGTTTCGTACACATTACTTTTTGAGCACAAGGAAACAGATGATCAAGATTAGATAGAACTGGACAAGATTAACGAACAAATGATTTGGCAGAAGATTCTTAATACTCCATAAAAAAACAAAACCTCATCTACTGATACATTCTTTGAATTGTATAGCAACACACACTAATATTTGCATCTTCATTGATTTCATACATATCCATGGATAATATGAAACAATATAGACAACAAATTTCAGTAAATATCCTTAGCGGCCGACTATATACATAGAAGTCCTTCTTGCAGAATTCCGTAGTCGTCTTAAAATTAGAATCCTGTAGAGCCCTCTTGTCTTTATAAACAAGACCAAAGCAACTAGAAACCCGAAAAGACTAACAGACGCCAATATGAAAAATGATAACATGAAACAGTGGGTGCCACTACATGAATTCCCTTCGCTTGATGCTTCTTTGTCGTAGATATAACCAATCACTCTTACAGAAAGTATGGAAGATCCAACAGGACTAGCTACGGCAATGGTGTTAAATATTGTACCCATATGTGGCACGCCAAATATCTCAGACGTGATGGTGGGCATCAATGACCATTGTGAACCGTAACAAACACCAACTAAAACCGAACCCACGTACAAATTTCCAGGAAAACCAGAACCGATAATTAAATGGCCTCCAGCCATGGTTGCTAGTGTCAAAGTCATAAACAATGGCCTTGCCCAACCTAGTCTATGCATCAATGTATCAGAAACATATCCAGCTCCAAAACGCCCCAGAAAATTCCATATGCTCCATAGAGAAACCAATGTACTTCTCTGGACTGATGTGTAACCGAGTGATTCTCCTATTTGGCTGATATTGTTTATTGTGGCCAATCCTGAGCCCATTCCACATAGCATCGCAACAAACAACAACCAGAAGTTCATGGTTCGCATGGCTTGAAAAAGATTCAATTCTTCAACATGTAGAGTATCCTCAGAATTGGGCTTCTGATGCTCGTTAGTCGGAACATTGGGACAGTCTCTTGGATTCTCTACTGCAGACTTCTCTGAGTTAAACGAATTAGGTCCTTTTATTAGTGGGGTGTTTAAACTGGATAAGGTTTGTGATGATCTCAGTAAATCCTCCTCGTGTGCTTTGACTGCAATCGTAATTGGTGAAGACAGTAGAACAAGTAGAACTACCAGAGAGAGAGCGTGCGCCCATGGTGACAAACTGACGGTGTTTTTCAAGATTATTAAGAACATAAGATATGCTGCGACTACCATAGAAATTAGCGAGAAACCATTCAAATATTTCTTCTCCTTCTCATCTCTATTAGGTACCTGATAGACTCTCACGAACCACATAAGAACAATAGAGAGAATGGGTGGTAAAAGAGCCAGAAGCAACAAGAAAGTGCTTGGCTTCCCTTGGAATAATGTCTGATACACTTGTATCAGTACTGCTCCACTTAGACCAAGAAAACCCTGTCAACGATCATTGTCAAGATAACAAGCAAGGATCTATGTCCATGACATTTGATTGAATCTAATATTACTTCAAAAAGGCCAATATCAAATAATTAATTTGATCAATCAATCAAATTACTCAAGAAAATTCTGAATCTACTGTCCCAAGCCTTTGGTCATGATTTTCATTTTAATGATAAATAGAGAGTGAAGACGTCCATGTAAAATCTCGTGTTGGTGATTTTGATGCTTCAAGAAACACATGGCCCCAGTACTAATGAAGAGAAACAAGTAAAAACACTGCTTATGATATTCCTATGAATACCCAAAAAAGTTATAAAGTTAAATCAAATTTTAATAATAAAGCAACAATAGAGACAATTATTTGATAGAACAGTTGATTTGGATAGCCAAAAAACCCGCTATCTATCAGTCATTCAAATATAGACAAAAATATCAAATATCAGATAAATTTTTTGCATCTATTAATCTGCTTAAATTTATCTTCAAAATCAATTAGTAATTTGGAACGAAAAATTAACTTAAAATTAACAAGTAAAGTTAATCAAAGCATTCAAATTCGATTCCATAAACCAACGTTCACTGTGCTCTATGAATTATAGATTGAAAGCAACAGAAAGGGGAAAAACTTTTGTGTGTGTGTGAAAGAACCTTCAAAATGAATCTGAAAATTGGAAAATCAGACAATGTGTTCTCGATTAACTTATAATTAGCTAATAAATTATTCAAAATTTTCAGACTCAGTTCGATAAACAAACAATTTTATTAAATTTATCTGTCTACTACAGTGTATGAATTAGGGCTTGAAAGGAAAAAAAAAAAAAAAAGAAAGGGGAAAAACTTGTTCAATACCTTCATGATGCCGACAATGGTGCCGCTGTACTCCGGAAAGTTCTGAACCGCCGTAACAACATTAGCCGTATTGAAAAACGTCTGGGCATGCGCAGCCAGGAACATGAAAAGACACATCACCGGAACCTCCTGACGGGGAATCGCTCCGATGATGGCAAGCCAAATGAAGTAGTACCCAATAAAGCACTGGATTGCACCGGCCGCATGGACCACCCAGGGGCCATATAAACACGAGTTGGACTGGTGGCGGCGATTGTTGGCAGTGGAGGTATAAAGGATCCCGGAAAGAATTCCGGCGTTTGCCCCGATGTCTTTGAAGACTGAAATCAAGTCAAGAGTGGATTGATCGTAATTTTGGCTGGATTTTAGGAGTGGAGAATATATGCCGAAAGCGTACGAAGCACCACAACTGCACTGAATCCAAATACTTGCTACTGCTGCAATCCATCGGCTACTCTCCATTAATGATCAGAGATTTTTCTTGATGAAAACGGTTCAATTCCTTCCCGTTTATATATCCCAAATTGTTAGGCACGGCAACAAATAATGGAAAAGTCCGACAATTAGTGAATTGTGAGTCTGTGACCAACATTTGCTTTTTGGATTGTTAAGATCTTTTAGTAAACTTTAACTCAGAGTTAAATTTTATAATAATGGTGAATTTTACAAAATGCGTGGATAAAACTTTGATTGATTATAAATCTTTTTTAAACATTAGCGAAACACGAGTATCAAAAATGAGATCTGCTGGACGAACAGGGCCAAAAACAGGCCCAAAAACAGGGGGCCGAGGTGGCTGCACCTCGGCCCTTGATTTCAATTCATGGGGGGGCCCATTTCATCAAATCAGGGGCTGAGGTGATGACACCTCAGCCCCCTGTTTTCTGGTCGGTCCTTGACCCTGGCCGACCAGAATTTTCC